AGCCCACTGAAACACTTTCCTCTCCCTTTCCCCTGTCCCTTGGTGTTCCCTCACCAAGCGAAGTATCGCATGCTGAGGGCTCAGCCCCATCTGTACAGATGATGAAGAGCTAACAGAGGGCGGTCAGGACGGGGGGGAGACATCCGCCTCTTCAGCACCAGGCAAAGAAGTAGTGGCTAGGAAGTGGCTCGGTAGCCGGTCCTAGAGACAGGTATGTCCCTCCTGACCCACACAGCAGCCGAGGGGGCTATATGAGGCGGAGACCCTAATTGATGATGAAGAGGCTGATCGCACTTGGCAGCCTCGTCGTCATCATGCAATTGCCTTTTCCCGGCATCATCAGGAGAAGAGGTGTGGCACAGCATGGCAGCGAGCAAAACCAGCTCGACTGGGTTTGCCCATAAGGCAACAAGGGTCGCTAGCAGTGTCAGTGTGAGGCAAACGTACAAACGGAGTAGAGCAACCAGCTCTACCTGCAGCCTACCCACCACCCTTGCGGCAGCATATGCAGCGTCGCCATTTGGTGGCCTGGGAAAACCGTGATAAAGATACGGCGGTTCTGCCTGCCCCCCAGCCCCCCGCTCCATCACCCGCTCCGTTACTTGCTCCGTCACCCGACGTCAATCACCCTCTATCAGCCAGTCAAGGCTCCAACACCTCTGCTGAGGGAGTTGTCGCTCGTTGGCATCTTCCGCTCGTTCAGATGCTCCTTCTCCTGCTACTCCTCTTCACGGATTCCGTCAGCAGTCTTTCTTGGAATCCGTTTCCAAGAGACAACAGTTTGCGAGCACGCACCCGACGTGCAAAAAGCTGAACGTCCTCCTGTCCAAGTTGCTGGTGCTGCAGTCCCTCCCTTTCCAAGTGGTGGACTCAGCACCTTTCCGAGAAATGATGGCTTGTGCCGCGCCGCGGTGGAGAGTGCCAAGCCGTCATTTCTTCGCCAAAAAGGCAGTGCCAGCCCTGCATTCACAAGTACAAGAGATGGTGGGCCAGTCTTTGAGCATGTCGGTCTCTGCCAAAGTGCACGACAGTGCCGACGTGTGGAGCTGTAACTACGGTCAGGGACAGTACATGTCATTTACGGCCCACTGGGTGAACGTGGTGCCGGCACAGCCGCACCAGCAACTTGGACAGGTCACGCCGCTTTTGCCTCCACGTTTGCACGTCCTTGGTCCACAAAAGATGTCCGCCTCTACCACCTCTTCTTCCGCCCGTGTCCTCAGCCGCCACCCCCCCGTGCCAAGTCCCATTACCCGACCGGCATATCACATGTGCAGGGCGCAACTGTGTCACGCTGTGCTGCACCTGGTATGCCTTGGCGAACGTAGTCACACAGGGGAGGAACTTCTGAGTGTAATGAACAGAGAAATCGACAGATGGCTGTCTCCGCGCAAACTGAAAATCGGAACCATGTTGACCGACAACGGAAAGAACATGGTGTCTGCTCTGCGTCAAGGAAGGTTGTGCCATGCGCCATGCATGGCTCACGTGTTCAATCTGGTTGTCAAGCGGTTCCTAAAATCCACCATCCCACTGCCAAGACATCCTTAAAATGTCACGTAAACTTTGCATGCATTTCAGCCATTCCTACACCGCAAAGCACACCCTCCTTGAGCTGCAGCGGCAGAACGGAATTCCACAGCATCGCCTGATCTGCGACGTTGCAACAAGGTGGAATTCAACCCTACACATGTTAGACCGCCTTTACGAACAGCGAATGGCCATCACCGATTTCCTGATGTTACAAGCGGATAAAGGCACTCCCCTGTGTAACTTCGATGTCAGCCATTGGCAGCTCATGCGTGACATCTGCCGCTTGCTCAGGCCCTTTGAGGAGGCCACGTTATTCGTGAGTCGGCAGGACTATGGGATGAACGACGTCATTCCTCTGTTGCACGTCCTGGAACAAATGCTGTTAACAATGGCTGGTCAGGGTGCGGTAGAGGTGGCGCACAGATCTCAATGCCACATGAACCCTGTGGGGGCAGGACAGGAAGAAGAGGAGGAGGTAGAGGAGGACATTTGTGCTCAGGAATTATTGAGTGAAATGGGTGGTTTTTCCACTCAGCGGACAGGAGTGGAGGAGCAGGAGCATCTGGTGAGGAGGAGGAGGAGGAGACAGAGGACCCAGACCCACCGTGGCAGTATGCAGATGGAGGCAGGGAGTTCCTCGCATTCCTTGGCACAAATGGCCCATAGCATGCTCGGTTTGCTTGCGTAGCGACAGCTGAATAATAACCATCAGACAGAGGGATGAGGCTGTCCACCTTGTTGGACCCTCGCTACCGTTCAAAAATGGTGGCCTTTTTCACACCTGCTGAGAGGGAGGCCAAAATAACGTACTATAAAAACCACCTATGTAGTCAGCTGGTCTCTGCCTTTGTGCGCCAACGTCCATCCTCAGACACTGTGGGCCCTGTGCGCTCGCGTTCTGCTGCCATGGCAGCAGGGGAGGGGTGGGGTGGTAGGAGCAGTGGCAGCTCCACCAGCAGCGGCTGCCTCAGTCTGCAGTCGATGATGAGTAGCTTTCTTCACCAGCGCAGTGAGGAAACTACTAACCAGCCGCAGCAGCAGCAGCAGCAGCATCAGGTGGACCTGGAGCAGGACCTCAAACAACAGGCTTGGGCCTACTTGGACAGCACCCTGCCAACCGAGGTAGACAATCCCCTTGACTACTGGGCAACGAAACTTGACCTTTGGCCCCAACTAGCTGAATTTGCCCTTGAAAGGCTGTCATGCCCGGCCAGTAGCGTGGCATCGGAGCGCGTGTTTAGTGCGGCAGGAGGTATTGTAACTCCGCGGAGGACACGACTGTCCACCCAAAGTGTGGAGAGACTCACGTTTGTGAAAATGAATCAGGCGTGGATTAGTCTGGATTTCAAACCACCAGTTCCTGACACAACTGACTAAATCCGCCATGAATCATGCCCCAAACATGTGCCACTTTCAGGTCTCCTCACACTACTGGTGGGTTCCATTTTGTCATAGGGTGCTGGCAGATTACGGGCCTCCCATTGCTGCTGCCAGGCCCGTAATCTGCCATGGGCCCCTGTACCGCCTCCTCATGCTGCTGCCAGGTCCAGAGTCTCTCATGGGTCCCTGTACGGCCTCCCATTGCTGCTGTCTCCATCGCCACACTCTGCCATGTGCCACTTTCAGGTCTCCTCACACTGCTGGTGGGTTCCATTTTTGTCATAGGGTGCTGTATGGCCTCCCATTGCTGCTGCCTCCACCGCCGCACTGTGGCTCCACACTCTGGTTTTGGCCCCGTGACTGCCCAAATGAGTGAAGTGTGCGGTGATTCTAAGATCGACGGCACTCATCTGCATGTCATACTGACTGACAGTATTATTTCTCTTCCCCAGCAGACTCCAAGGGCATTTAAATTAAAGGTACAGTGTTCTGCACTAATATAAAGGCTCTCTGAAGCCTAGAAACACCCTTTTATAAGTTAAAATCGCAGCGAATATATTCGCATCGAATCGAATTTATTCCTCGAATTCGCCGAATCAGCCGAATCGAATTTTTGAATACTTCGCTCATCTCTACCCCTGGTACCTTTTTCATAGGCTTTTTTGAGTTTGGGCAAGGACACAGGGGCCCCATGATCCCCTATTGCCCGGGGGCCCCATGAGTTGTCAGTCCGCCCCTGATCCCGACCATATGATTGGGATCTTTTCAGAGCATGGCTGGCTCTGTGCCGTCAGCCGACAGTGTTATTCAGCCCATTGTTTTCTAAAAACAGATCACAGGAGTGCACAATGAACTGCACTTCTGTGATCCACAGGAGAAGCATCGCCAAAAGAGTTTTGGCTATACTTCTCCTTTAACAGGAAGCATTCTCATGAGGAATGATCTACTAGATATCCATAACTAGCTTTAGCATCTCAGGGGAAGAAATTTTGAAACATTGATTTGAGTGCTTAGCAGCAGATGCTTTAAAGTATTTACCAATGTTGTGTCTCTTTAAAAACCCTTTTTGATCTTCTCAGAAATAAAGTGAGCTCATAACTACCTGCATATGGGCTGGCAAACTGCCTCTGCTGCATTAAAATGCTAAAGATATGACCTGCCTGAATACCTCCTACTGGACTACAAAACACAGCCCTGTTATGCTATGTAGATAAGGAGAGGGGCAGATTGGACGGAGCAGAGGCAGTGTGGTTGATTTGATAAAAGACAACTAGACCGTGCACTTTGCAAGTGCAGTTGCACTTCACATGGGCATTTGCTCCAAGGCTTAGTAAATGAGGGGAAACTCTGCTGACATTGGATATTCTTTGGAAAATGAAGCTTCACCTCAATTGCAAAGAGCACAGTTTGTTTTGCTTTAGTAAATCAACCCCAGTGCTGTCAGCACACTACAAGAATATAGGCATTTACTGGATTTCTGGTAGGATCAACACGTTTTTTATGCTTGCAGTGTTTTTACATTTTTTTGCACATACACTTTTGAAACATTGACAGAGACATACAGTACGCTTAAAGAAAATGCAACTTCAGCCAAGCTAATGGTTATATTTGCAATTGATTTCAGTGGACCGGTGTTGGATCTTAATATCATATGTCAACCTTTTATAGGCGTTCTTATTTCTGAAAATAGAATGACAGGCTTTATCAGAATATATGCATTTAAACATATGGGCACCAGGATTCTATGGCTAGTTGTGCTCACTGAGTTACACTGCTGAGCTACTGAAGGAATATGAAGAACAGGATATCTAAGCATCAATATTGTACTTGTGGATGCTTCTAGTGACCATTCTATATCATCAGTGTTAGAAACACACAAAAAGTTGTGTATGTGCATAAGCAGGGCCATGGATAAGGGGGTACCACCAGTCCTCCTGTACAGGGCCCAGGCCAGCAGGGGGGCCCAGGCAACTAGGTGAATTTGATGTGGGCAGCACAGCATGGAGGGCAATTACTGGAACCAATCCCCTGTATGGCTCTCTCTGCAGCAGCTTAGCGCTGACTTCTTCTCCTCTCTCTCTCCTACTGGCTTTCAGCTGCTGTAGAGAGAACCATACAGGGGATCGGTTCCAGCATTTCCCCCCTCTGCTGCACCCATCTTCCTCCATGTACACCATATGTTTCCCTCAGCTACCCAAGCCCCCCTGTGTGCCCCCACCCCCACAGTGCTGCTGGCTTCCCTCCTCTCCTTCCCACCGCCAGTTGCAAGCACACAATAGGATTCTTCAGGATGGAGTATGGGAGAGGGGTCCTGTAAATATGTCACATTTACCAGCCCTTTCCTTTCCTGAATGAACACAATGAGTGATCAGCAATGATCACTCACCGTGTTCATTCATAACTGAAGCATAGTAAACAGAGTCTTTCAGAGTCTTTTTTTTTTTGGGGGGGGGGGGCCTGTTAGGTTGTCTGTACAGGGCCCTGTGGTTTCTAACAGCAATCCTGTGCATAAGTGATGACATCCTCAAAGTGCCAAAAAAGGAGTGGCATTTCACATGGGTATTTGCGCCAGGGCTTAGTAAATGAGGGGAAACGCTGCTGACATTAGATATTCTTTGGAAAGTGAAGCCTCAATTGCAAAGAGCACAGTTCATTTTCCTTTAGTAAATCAACCCCAGTGTTGTCAGCACACTACAAGAATATAGGCATTTACTGGATTTCTGGTAAGATCAAGTGTTTTTTTGTGCTTGCAGTCTTTTTAAATTTTTTTGCACAGACACCTTTGAAACATTGTCAGAGACATACAGTATGCAATAACCAACAGCTGCCTACCACAAGAATCAAGTTTCATAAAACCTTCTAAAACAAACAAAAAGGTGAAGTTGCTCTGTAACACTGACCATGGACAATGTGCCTCTGTACGGAGATGGGAAGATTGTTGCCAGATCAAGAAAACTGTCGGAGTCAGTGTACAGTATAAGGCATCTCTTAATTCAGAATTTATTTACTGCACAGTGCAGAACTGAAGAAGCTAAACCAGATTATAGCACCCCCCCCCCCCCCCAAGGCCTGGTATGTATTTTTTTTTTTTTTACAGGTACTTATATAGTGCCGTCATTTTACGCAGTGCTTTTACATATATATTGTACATTCACATCAGTCCCTAACCCTCAAGGGGCGTACAATCTAAGGTCCCTAACTTACATTCATACATACACATACTAGGGCCAGTTAAGACAGGATCCAATTAGCCTACCAGCATGTCTTTTGGAGTGTGGGAGGAAACCAGAGTACCAGAGGAAACCCACGCAGGCACACAGTGAACATGCAAACTCCAGGCAGGTGGTGCCATGGTTGGGATTCAACCCGACAACCCTAGTACTGCCATGCGGAAGTGCTAACCATTTAGCCACTGTGCCACTTTTGTTATACCAAATGTGAATTTGCTTTTTTCTTGATTTTTTTCTATACATCAGGTAAAATGTAGTCATGAACAAAACTGATATCTCCCAACAGCTTTCAAAGAAGGACATACAAGCTCTAACTCCACCCTCCACCCCATCCGGTGTGACACAGATTTACTTACTTTACAGATATAAATATGTCTATCGATTCTTATAATGAATACCCCTTAACATATTCTACATTTATGGCTTCACATGAAAGTAAAAGTAAAAACACTATTCCCCATAAGTACTCACCAACAGATGCTGGCATTTCTCCCCATTGTAGTACATTTTCTTTTGTAAAGTGTCCATATGTATCAATATAAACCCCTTCATCCTCATAGCTCAGCAGAAGTTCCATGCCATTGGTGTTGGGCAAGATGATGATGGCATGTGGGTGAATGTTTCCCTGGATCTGAAATTACAGTATTGTGCCATCAGTTTGTTTTCTAAAATGATCAAAATAACAATAACCACATTGCATTGTTTTCTAGACCTTCCTCAATAAATTGTTTTTATATACTACTTTTTAAATTAGTTTTTCTTGCAAAGACTGCTTATTTTTGTTCAAATGTCTGAAAATAAATTACTAAGCATAATGTCAGAATCTTTTCCAAGTTCTACTGAAATAAAAATACTTCATGCAAAGATTCCTTGAAAATACATTTAAATATCTGGAAGTAGATGTTGGATCTTAACCTTTGCTGTACTGAAAAATAACTACCCTCAAGTATTGTTGTATTTGCAAGATAATGATACAAATAACAGAATTAAACATTTACAATAATTTTCTGAGTATTAGGCTGATTGGTGATGTATTCAGAAACAGAAAACCCCAAACAATTATGTATTGTGGCTATAATTACATTTTTGATGCCAGCCATCTATGGACCCAAAAACAGTTTCAGATTCATGTAACATAGATGCATAATATCATTTGTCATACTTACTGCATAATCAAAGTCACAGACAGGAAACCAGAATGTGAAATTTATATTAAATCTAGTCATGCAAGTTAAGGTCATTTTAGCCTGACAATGTACACTGGCCATATACATCAGAGAATTATTGGAGGTGCTCTTATAATCTGATTCACAATGTATTTTGATGAAATATTTCCTTTGCTCAAGTTTTCATGTTTAGAAAATGGAAGACATGGGAAGGAGATCATACATAATTCTGGCACAATACCTTGCAATAAAGAACTTGCCATACATTGTTTTCCCTACAACAAACTGTCAAGTGGAATCTTCTGAGGGTGCCACATAGACACACAAGTACAGTGGGGATCGAAAGTTTGGGCACCCCAGCTAAAAATTTGTATTAATGTGCATAAAAGAAGCCAAGGAAAGATGGAAAAATCTCCAAAAGGCATCAAATTACAGATTAGACATTCTTATAATATGTCAACAAAAGTTAGATTTTATTTCCATCATTTACACTTTCAAGATAACAGAAAACAAAAAAATGGTGTCTGCAAAAGTTTGGGCACCCTGCAGAATTTATAGCATGCACTGCCCCCTTTGCAAAGCTGAGACCTGCCAGTGTCATGGATTGTTCTCAATCGTCGTCTGGGAAGACCAGGTGATGTCAATCTCAAAGGTTTTAAATGCCCACACTCATCTGTCCTTGCCCCAACAATCAGCACCATGGGTTCTTCTAAGCAGTTGTCTAGAAAACTGAAACTGAAAATAGTTGACGCTCACAAAGCTGGAGAAGGCTATAAGAAGATAGCAAAGCGTTTTCAGATGTCAATATCCTCTGTTCGGAATATAATTAAGAAATGGCAGTCATCAGGAACAGTAGAAGTTAAAAGCAAGATCTGGAAGACCAAGAAAAATATCAGACAGAACAGCTCGCAGGATTGTGAGAAAAACAATTCTAAACCCACGTTTGACTGCACGATCCCTCCAGAAAGATCTGGCAGACACTGGAGTTGTGGTACACTATTCCACTATAAAGAGATACTTGTACAAATATGGTCTTCATGGAAGAGTCATCAGAAGAAAACCTCTTCTACGTCCCACCACAAAAAGCATCGTCTGAACTTTGCAAATGAACATATAGACAAGCCTGATGCATTTTAGAAACAAGTTCTGTGGACCGATGAGGTTAAAATTGAAACTTTTTGGCCGGAATGAGCAAAGGTACGTTTGGAGAAGGGGCACAGAATTTAATAAAAAGAACCTCTGTCCAACTGTTAAGCATGGGGTTGGATCAATCATGCTTTGGGGTTGTGTTGCAGCCAGTGGCACAGGGAACATCTCACGAGCAGAAGGAAAAATGGATTCAATAAAATTTCAGCACATTTTGGATGGTAACTTGATGCCATCTGTGAGAAAGCTGAAGTTAAAGAGGATGGCTTCTACAAATGGATAATGATCTAAACACACCTCGAAATCCATGGGGATTACATCAAGAGGCGTAAACTGAAGGTTTTGCCATGGCCTTCACAATCTCCTGACCTCAACATAATTGAAGATCTATGGATAGACCTTAAAAGAGCAGTGCGTGACAGACAGCCCAGAAATCTCAAAGAACTGGAAGACTTTTGTAAGGAAGAATGGGCAAAGATACCTCAAACAAAGGTTTTTTTTTTTTTGTTATTGAAAGACTCTTGGCTGGCTACAAAAAGCGTTTACAAGCTGTGATACTTGCCAAAGGGGGCAGTACAAGATATTAACTCTACAGGGTGCCCAAACTTTTGCAGACACCATTTTTTTGTTTTCTGCTATTTTGAAAGTGTAAATGATGGAGAATAAAATCTAACTTTTGTTGACATATTATAAGAATGTCTAATCTGTAATTGATGCCTTTTGGAGATTTTTCCATCTTTCCTTGGCTTCTTTTATGCACATTTAATACATATTTTTTAGCTGGGGTGCCCAAACTTTTTCGATCCCCACTGTATGTTTTCTGGTCTGGTCATTATTGCTTGCATTAGAATATATTCTCATGGACATAGGGCACCCACAAAATTAAGCAAGAAGTTGCAGTTTATTTATAAGTTGGAGCTTAGTAGCTGAGTTTCCTTGGGAAAGCTGTTTTCACAGTTTCTCAACAGCACTGTAAACATTATCTTTGCTTGTAATGGGCTCATTAATACTTATTAATATAAATGAATACTCCTAAAAAGATAACTTCTCTATGTGATGATGTTAAAAAAGCAACAGGAAGGAAACTACACTGCGAGACGACGTGTATGGTATGCTAATAATTAATTTTGGAAAAATGACCTGTTGTTTTTAATGCCAAAAAATTTTGTTGGGCAAATTTTGATCACAAATCAAATTTATTGTGCATGTTATGTTTATAGGCCAAATGCTGATTATGTTTTTTTTTTAAAACACAACACAAACACACTGTGCACACTTCAACTTTGTTTTCTTTTTCATTTTGTGCTTTTTCTCCTATTTACTCCATCAGTTTATTATTTCTCATCTTTACTCCATGTGACCATGCTTACCTTTTCCTCATCACAAAGTGTCATTTACATTTCCCTGCACACATGATGTTGGGTGCTGCTTCCCAAGTTTAAAAACTTCCAACATCCTGTGTTTCAATCACTTTTCACACATTCTAGAAACTTCACTGCAATTCTACCCCAAACCAACCTCTGAAGCCATATACAATTTATGGCTGTAGGAAACACAAGATGCTTCAAAGTGTCAAGGTTTCAAGCACATTAAAGTAGCAGTCATCTAAAACACCTTAATATACTTTGGCTTTAATGTACAACGGGGACATTACATATCTAGGTTAAAATGATTACTGTACATGAATGACATTAAACATGCAAAGTAGCTATACAATAAAAATGAGAAATGACAGAAACCAATATATCACCATTCATTCTGTAGAGTTCTTTTTCCAGGGCAAGATAAAACAGGATTCTAGTTCTCTCAATACCAAGAATCCAATGGGGAGTCAACTTGATGCGGAAAAAACT